TGCGGGATTCGGCAAACTGTATCCTGATGCCGCTTCAAACCCCAGTCGTCTTGCACGTTTTTAAGCAGTACGGGCACTTGAATTTGACCATCATGCGTGTTTATTTTGTGCAACTGGAAAAGATTTGAGGGGTGGCCAAAGTTTTTGCCTTGGATAAAGCGCAGAATGCGGTCAGGTCCAAGGGGCATAAGGAAAATGAATGCCGATTGCGAAAACTGTTTATAGCTTGTGCACAAAGAATGTGCCCATTGCATGTTGAAGCAGGCGCACCCACAAGAATCTTGTTCAATAGTAAAGAATGTTCTGTTCTCCATGCACTTTCGTTAAGCATATGCGTAAACACTAGTTGTAGCCTTGCTTATTATGACGCAATGTACCGTACGAATCTATAGGCAACATCAAGATCATTTGACGCAAAGCTGAGTTAATAGTAGGCACCTGCATCGGACTGTGCTGGAGGCTCTTGCACAAGACCATCACGCACAAGCACACTGGTAAATTGGGTGGCTAAAATGCGCTTCTTAGATGCAGTGACTTGTGATCTTTGTAGTTGTCGACTGGTTTGATCGGCGTGACGATCCCATCAGTGGATATCACCTTGATTGATGGTGTAAAGTCAGTCCCCGAGACCAGCTTTGGTTCGCCACTGGATCTGAACTCATATCGGAGATGATGAAAGGAACACTTTGAAGCCTCCAGCTTGCCACCCGACGACCACAGAAGATCACTCCACCATTGAGCGTCTTTTGTTGCCTTGTCCACCGTTCCTGCACTGAGGGAATAGTGTTGGTAAGAAAGCAATTTGTTCCAGAATTCGTATCATCAACAAACCCTGTTATGAACAGCTTGACCCGATTTGAGCCATCTGGGCTGGCAAAGGTGGCGCCAGTCGCATAGGGCTCGAAACAATCAAATAGTGTGCTCGAAATAAACAGCCATAAGGCAGGGGAGTTCCCAGCCCCTTGCCCAGACCCGTGCCAGGGATCTTCCTCCGTATGACCGAGAAATGTGACTGACGTTCCCAGAGTGGTCTTGATATGGTACTGGGCCTGTTCCAGATTCATTCCATTCACTTTACAGACACTTACCGGCATACCCATCTTGCGGCTTGCAAGACTGGCAATGCACATGAGAATCCGGTCATAGCACGCGGCTGCATCATTGTCATTTTTGATGAGCGGGTGCAAGCAACAACGTGACACTTCGTACAATTCCTCCATATAACAGAGATCAATTGCTGACCTCCCTGGAACGGAGCCAAATTGCCTTTTGTTGATCAGCCCTTTCTTGGAGGCATGGTAAAGCAACTCGCGCCACTTTACGCCCAAGAGCAGGTTGTAGTCTGCCTCAAAGATATGGATAACTCGCAACCTGTGAATCTTGCAACCACCCTCATCTTTGGGGATGAGGGTGTTAACGATTTTGTTCCATCTAGAGTAGGCAAAGCCCTGTTCCAGGGCAAAGTCGTTGAGGAGCCGAAAGTGGGCCTGCTTGATCTTGGTTTGAAACTCTGCGAGTTCCTTTCCTTCCTCAGAATCCGGGTCGAGACTGTGTTCCGCAAAAAGTGATTTCCAATGACCGAGATGTTGTCCAGAGGGAGAGGTTGTAGTGCGTTCATTCCAGCTCCTGAGTTTCCCATCGAACTGTTCCTCTGTCAGTGTTGCTGGAATCTCACCATCGCAAGCCCGAGCCAGATGCCGAAGGAGGACTGCTGTAGCAAACGACGTTTCGAATGGACAAATGTCGTGTTCACCATCAAGGATTGCATCCGCGGTAGCAGTACTGGCAGAGAAGTCGGTATCTGTTCGCAGTGTTGAGTCGGTTCGGAATTCCGTTTCCTCGGCCTGCCGAAAGTGCTTTTTGAGGTGAGCCTGGAGGTGGCGTTCAATTTCCTCTGGATCCTCAACATACATCCAGTCTTTACACTGTTTGGGCGGCACTGTGGGGTCCCGGGGAACTTCCAAGGCTGTGAGTCCGGCACCATGGCATTTACCCCGCGCGTGTGCACACTTTTGCCATGCTCTTCGAGTGGCTTCAGCGTTGCGCAAGCGCTTCATCACAATAGCCAACCTTGTGTCTTCTTCAGACTCGTATTGTGCTTGGAGTTCCATTTGGTACTCTTGGCGCAACTTGTGGGTTCTCCACTCATCCACCTCCGCCGCACGAAGTTCCTTGCGGGCTTGCTTCTTTCGTCTCTTGCAGTCTTCCAACGATGTGGGTAATTCAAAGGCTGGATCGGAGATCTGCTCCATGCGGAGACGAATCTGATTGGTAATGTCGTTCTTGCATTGGAGTGCATGCAGGGCCATTGTCAGGACTTGGAACTTCAACGTAACTGGGTCAATGCTGGGGAACTGGGAATGGGCAAATAGGTCGGGCACTTTTTGGCGGCGTGGAGACTTGCAGAAAGGAGGAGTTGGTCCAAGGCCTCAGCCTCTTGCTGGGTAGGTGCCTGGTTGAATCTCCAGAGTCGTTGAAAGAATCCATGATTGTCAAGATAGCTGTACTTGGATTTGATGTAGGTGGTGACTTGGTGGCGTTTCTTGGAATGCACCCTTCGTTGACAGGGCTTGGGTAAAGCTGCTGTATCGGACCCGAACAGCTGTTTCAAGTCAAAGTCAACAAAGCAGGCACGGTGGTCACTATAGAAGTGGTCACAGAACGGATGGTAACCGCAAGCGTCGACAGCATCCAATAGGTTTTCAGAAACGAGGATGTAATCGATTACCTTACTTCCTCTGACATAGGTGTTAAAGTCGCTGATTCCGTGATTGTAGAAAATCGGATCGACAAGCTTGCAATCGGATACCAGTCGCGATAGCCCCTTCCGTCCTCTTGCCAAATCGTCATTGAAATCGCCACCCACAATAATCTCATGACCATTTGCGATGTCTTTGGCCACGCATTCCTGAAAATCATCATAGTGGTTCCTCCTTGGATCTAGAGACTGCCATGATTCTTGTACATAGATGGCATGTAGTTGGGCCAGAACGGTCCTATCACCAGCCCTCTCAATACTCCCATCGGTCACGGTATACACATTGTAAACTGATAGTCGCTTTCCATCTTGCAGGATAGAACCGTCCTTGTCCAGTGGCCAAGGTAATCTGCCGCGGCCTCCAACACTCTGCCAACGGTGCGGCCCATCACCAGAGATAGAGTCCCTCCTGGCTTGTATTCTCTCAAGTGGATCTGTGGAGTGCTGCCAAAAGATTCATTGGCTCCAGTAAGCTATCTCCTGTTGCAATTCCTCACAAACCAAGCCACTACAAGCACCACGGCGATTCAGGAAGACTAAAGAAGGTGTATCAAAAAACACTAATTAATTTAAGTATGTGAGATATTTTACAAGTAAGTGAGTTGGATGTGAGGAAGGGTGTGAGTGCTTTCTGCTATTTTAATTAATCGTGCAGAGCAGTGCAAGAGCAATGCACTTGCAGCAGAATTGCTCCACTATTTTCCACCTACCCGTTTGATGCCAAGCTAGTGAATGACATCATGGAGAAATGATTCCAATATATGGTAGGAGGATCCACTCGCCGCAGCTGTGCGTGCAAGTTATCGTGTAGCTTGTAGCTTATAATGGTAGCCTCGATCGTGTTGACAGTCAATTGCCAATCAATGCCTCGATGACCTGTGTGCTCTCTGTTCATGCTGAAGAGACCGGTGGGGCTGGAGAATCTCTTTGGTACCTAATCCACCAACTAGTACTCGATCCGCCTTGCTTTCGGTGGGAACAGATCGTTCCAAGCCGCTGCCTCCTCCGTTCCATGGACTGAGGACTCGACTCAACAGCTGCTTCGATCATCGGTCTCGGATCGGATGATCGGATCCATCCTGCAGCTGGAGGGATCTTGGAGTCCAGATCTTATTAGAAGCGGGATCCATTAAAACTTCATTTGCTTTCGTTGCCTCTGACGCACGGAGAGACGAGATGACTGACGAACTCCGTACCCGTACATAAGTACTGCCCTTCTGAATCTGTCTTTTGTATTGTACATATATGACATACGTATAATGCGGAAGCTATGCGAACCGGTTGCAGCTGGAGTGGATGTTGTCCATCTTGGTTTTAAAGGCTGGTTGATTCTGTGACTGACGCGTGTTCAAAGGGAAGTGGGCCACTGGTGGCAGTGCCAACTCTGTACAGTAGCTATACATGCAGCAACGCTCATGAGAGAAGAAGAGAGTGATGCACGAATATACTCAGAGGGGGGTGGGCAAATGTTGCTATAGGGCTCGAGTGTACTCCATTGCGACTCGAAAAAACAGTTTTAAAATCGAAATGCAAGCTTTGGACTAAAATTAAGATAAATTGGATTGGATTGCACTGAATTGCATTGGATTGAATTGGATCAAACATGGTACTGTTATTTATATAGTAAAATGGAATTCAATTCAATTCAATCCAATCCAATTCAATGCAATCTAATCCAATCAAATCAAATCCAATAGAAAACAAACATCCAAAACATAATATTTCATTTACAGACACAATTATACAAAAAAAAGCCAACAAATTCAATGCAGCCGTATTGGCATTTTTGCTCATCCCCGAGTAGGTACTTAGTGTGTGGATTTCTTTTTGGGTCATATGTCTGTTCTGTGAACTGGCACTCACTGTACCGCTAATACTATTAGTAGCTAGCACACTCTAGACTCGGAGACTCCCATTCTCAATGCACCCAATGCACCTTACAACCACGTTACACTTTTATGGCTGCCAATAGCTGCTGCATGCATGATACCATTACCAGAAGACTTCAGCTTGCACCGCGGCTTTTCGAGCCCTTCATTACTTTCAAAGAGGAAACATACACTGGCATTGTCGATAAACTCTCTGTCTGTCCTCTCCTGCATGCCATCTCCTTCTGCTCGCCCCTACATGTACATGTATTAGTTAGTCCCTTCCAACACATCGTAATCATTCCCCTGACTTCAGAAGTGGACTGAGAGCCAAAAAGTCATTCGACGATCCATCGATCAAGTTAACCCAAAGAATGTTCAAAGCAAGAAGAAACGGCTCTTCCGAAGGAGCCAAAAAGACATCAGATCTGTACCACGAACAACAACACAACCACCCCTATCTCCAGGAAAAAGACGAATCAGAAGCGGATTCTTTCTTGTTACACGTACAAATGGAGCTCGACGACGATACTATCCGCTTTCCTAAGGAATTGCCAAGGACTATATCCTGTCCACCAAGCATACCCGGAAAGAAGAAACGAAGAAAGAGTAAACTTGACAACAACACGAGTAGCACAAGTGGCAGCCGTGACGTCTCTCGGACCCGAGTCGACAGCACCGTTGGTAGCCGTGATGCATCGGCTCTGTTCGTGGAATCACTCTCACCTAGAGATTTAGCAAAGCTGGCAAACCTTCTCAGGCCAGTCTTGATTTCTCAGCAGGAGGTCGATATTACCAATAATCAAATGGATCCTCTGTTGCCCAAAAGTGACAATTGGAAAGACAACGGCGACGACTCATGGCGAGACGACCGGGATGACTCAGAGTGGCATAATCCCTACAGCGAAAACACACACTCTCTTTTCTATTTGTGCAGTGTTGATAGCTTGGCATTCTGGTAGGCCGTGTTTGCCTATTTCATCCAGGTAAGTATCAAAATTTTGCCTATTTCATCCAGGTAAGTATCAAAATGATGACGACTCTGGCTTTGTCATCATGTTGTTTCCAACTTACTCACTATTCGTACATGGCTTCAACAGATTGCAACTATTCTGCTGACATTGATTGACATTGTTGACTGGAGTGGAAATAGACTCAACATGCCACCCAATGTTGACTTGATTGTGACTATTGCTCAAGGTGTCGCCCTTTTCCAGGCCTTGGCATTTCAATCGGACTTCCTTGAAGTTGTCGCAAAGTAAGCCTTTTGATCTTGCCAAGGCAGGTTTCGTGGGAAATAGGCTCCAGAGCGCTGCCAATGATGTTGTCAACTTCCAAGTCCGCAAACCAGCAGGAGAACAAGGATTCTTACAACGTTCTTGGAAGGCAGGGATTTTCCTTTTGATCCTTGTTGTCATGGTGGCTGGATGGATTACTATTGTGGCCTTTCGGACATCAGGCAAATTCATGTGCAACACCATCATTGTGAATATGGGAGACAACTTTGTTCCCTCTCTAGGAGCTTTCAATGGCATCTATGACCTGGATTTCTCAACAGGTTCTGGTCTAGAGTGGCGAGCAGAGTATGTGGAGAGACGCTCTGTGGAAATCGACACGCCTGGTAGATGTGTTTTTGGGTACTGCAATGACATCAATAAGTTTCTAGAAGGTTCAGTTCCAATACTCAAGTAGTGGACTGGGTCTCGCTGAAACCCTTCCTCAGGTACAGCGGTAGTCAGGCAGCCTTGTCGTGCCTCAGGAGTATTCCAACACCTCCAGTAGGCACCAAACCAAGGACTTGGCCCTGTCAGTCAGACAGGAGGGCCAGCAGAGCTCTCTGCTGGACCCTTTGGGCCAGCTCTCCTCAGGAGCTGGGAGCCTTCGTTATTCAATCGTGCAGTGGCAGTCTGGGAACAGTACTATCTGCTACCTCCTACTGCTTCTGCCCGGCCTCAACAGGATGGGTATCAACTGCTGCGGTATCAATGGGGCTACAAGCTAATCAGGATCGGTCTCAATCTTTCGTACTATTTTCTTAACTATGGTGGAAAGGACGATCCTTTCTTGCTGCTTTGGCTGGAGATAAGCCAGCTGTGGGTGCTGGAGCTGTAGGCCAGCATAGCTGTTGGAGCTATCTCTGACGGGATCCAGAGCTCTCGCTCCTAAAAGTTATCGCTCCCCACGAGTGCGTATGGATCCGCTCTCATGGGAATGCCACGATATACGATTAGTTACTAACTAACTACAATACATACTCTCCCCATGAACGGAACATTCATGGGCCACTCGGCATCGACTGCTAGTGGAACACAATGTGAGATTGGAGATCTCACAAGTGGAGGGACTTGCATGGTTGGTCGGTTGCTGGACCAAAGGTAGGCAAGTGGTTGCCTGGTTCATCAGCTTTGCCGGACTTGTAGGCATCGGCTTAGCTGGTTGTTGCCATAGTTCTTTTTCTTCATATGCAACAAATATTCGTGGCTTTGCCACAGGCCGAATTCAGCGGTGGCAAGCTCTCAGTGAAGCGGCCTTCTTGCCCCGCGGACATGTTCCTTGACTGTGGGTCTTGGGATCGATCGATCAGGAACATGAATTGATCGCCCTAGGGAAAATCCAACGGCGTCACCGGGATTGGCCCATTGCCAAGCACTGTTGCCATGGTAGATAGCTTCGGGGTAGAAAGCATCGTGGCAAACAGCTTCTGGGAAGGAGATACCATGGTAGTCAGTTCCTGGGTAGGAGACACCAAGGCTGCCTTGATCGCAGGTGCTTGCTGTGGTTGCTCCCCATGGATTTCACCAAGAGCAGAGGGTATCTGTTTGGTGGTCCTTCTGTCGAATGGACTGGTGATGGTTGGACCTAGACTGGGCCTAGTATCCGAAGACAATGTCACCTCATTGGGCACAAGTCTTGTGGCACTGGCTGTGCCATAGGTTGGTGGTTCCGTGGGAACCAGTCTGGGAACCTTGGGCCTCACTATAGGTGATGGGCCACTAGGTCTCCTGCCAATGTTGGTTGTGGTGGGATCCTTGTGTGCTCTGTGCCTTGGAGCAGGTTGCCTGGGGGTCACCACTGTGTGTGTCTGCTCATGTGCTCTTGGTTGTAGGGCTGACTGAGTGGGAGCCACACTTGGTCTATTTGGTTGTGTAACTGGAATGTTGTTGGCGCCAGCTCTGGAAGCTGGTTGCTTACTGGCTGGAGGTTTTGCCATCATTATCTCCCCAGAGGTTGGATGACTACTAGGGCTGGCAAGCTCGATAATCTCCCCATCATCCAACGATGGATGGGCACCAGCGAGGGCATTCAAGGGTGTGGCACTGGGCAGCTGGTGGCTCGTAGCTGGGACACGCAGGGGTCGTGTGACAGGCAACTCCCCACAAGCTAGCTTGGGAGATGGAGCCGTGGCTACATTGGTGGGCAGCTGGTTGGTGGCCAATAGGGCATCAGTCAGTCTTTGCTGGATGGCAGTGGCATCTTGCTTGGAACGAGTGGCCCTGTGGCGCTGCTCCTGCTTCTTTGGGCTGTGGAGCCGTTGGGTACCAATAGCGCTGTCACCAGTCGGCTTGTGGACGCCATCAGCACTGCCCATGGCTGGCAGTGGAGTGGCATTGGTCTCCCCATGAACTGATGGTGTCAAAGCAGGTGTAGGTGCTGTGACAGGTGGCCTAGCAGCTACCACGACCAAGGCGTCCAGTTGAGCTGTCAGTTGGTCCTTCAGGGCGATGAACTGAGCTTCCATCTTTCGTTTGAAGGTTTCGTGGTCAGCTCTCATGTCTTGCTTGAATGATTCGTGATAAGCTCTCATGAGGTCGAGTTGTCGAGCAACGGTGACCTATTGCTGTTGAAAGCGGATCAGCATGTCTTCCATGGCTGGGTTGTAGATGAGGTCTGGGTGACAACTGGAGCTGTTGAGAGACAGCTCTGAAATCTCCCCATCACCCAGCTGGTGGTTGATCCTACCATAGGCCATTGGTGCCGGCCTCTTCTCAAGGATGTCGAAGACGGATTTGTATTCATGTGGTGGTGACACTGGTGGCTGTGTGTCTCGATGCCGGTGGCGGTAGGCTAGGTTGCTGTTGCCAGCTCCATCGTGGAGTGTGGGGCGGGCACAGGTGTAGCTACCTTGGACTTGGGGACCAGAGTAGACGTAGTGCCAGCCACGGTCGGAGTAGCCAGGGGCATAAGGGTCACTCACATCGCTGATGAAACCGTAGAAAGACATGGTGCCTCTTGTTACTGACAAAGAAGAGGTGTACCTGCTGTACCGGTGGAAGCACTGGTTTTCAGCTCTTGTAGCGGTAGAATAAGGCTGGCTCAACTGTACTTTGGAAACCACAAAGATGACTTCTTGGGACCTTGCTAGGGGCCTGGGAAATTCAATTTGGGTGTGCTTGAATAAGGTAGCTTGTGTAGAAGCACTGGGGCCTGCTTCCTGAATTGCTGTGGTGCTGGGAATTGGCTTGGATTGGTGAGATTTTGCCACACTGGAAGCAGCTTTCTGGTAACAATGAATCTCCCCACAAAAGCTCCCACAATTCAAGGTGAGATACCCACTGACTAAACAAAGGGTGGCGGTTCCACTGGTGATACTCGTATCCTTGTCGAGTAGGTCCTTCCTGTCGCCGTGTCGCTCCGAGTTACCCTTCCAGCAGCTCCGTACGGTACACAAGATCGTGATTTCCTGCCGAATTCAATGACTCGACGACGTAAAACCTTTAAAATGTGAGGGCGAATCCAGCTTACGAAGGCTGAGCCTGCTTTCGGTACGGAGAACCTTATCGTATAAGGCTTCGTTGATCCAGGATCGAAAAAGAACTCTTTGATACTGACTCAGTGCAACCACGATAAGTACCGAGAGTGTACGGGTGATTCGATTCGCTGAGCGGCTTTCGAGAAGATCGTCCAGGAACAAGTCAACGTTCCGCGTAAATTGAAAGATACTGCACGGGCGTTTTGATTGGCTGAGCAGCTTCCGAAAAAGAACGTTGCCTTGTTCCTGGACGGAAACTCGTGACACGCGAAACTGCACGGGCGAGCTGAAGAGATAAGCCTCGTACGCTGCAATAAATCACGTAATTCGCTGGAAGAAACTGAAAGCGATAAGCCTGAATGCAGAGAGATAAGCCACGTTCCTTCGGATGTAAAAAACTTGGTATCAGTAGCCAAAAGGGGTGCGAGCCAATAAGTCTCCGAAACTCCAACACGGGACCAGTATTAATAGACGAACTGCTTCTTCTTTCGAGTGAATTGGCTGCTTTTCCTCTCTTCCGTGCCGGTAGCTAGCGAGCTAGCCGAATGCTTGTTGCCTTCGTCAATAAGGTTGTTGTTGGAATATAGGTCCTTTTGGTGGTGACAATGGGCTTTGTGTTGGGCTTGTAGAGTGGTTGATGGCTAAGTCAAAGGTTCCTGTCACTGTGGTGATGGCTGGAACTATCAAAATCGAACAGGAGGTTGTTGACTAATGGCTTCAAAATGGGCCTTGAAACCACCTCAAAATGCCAATGAAATTCAATGAATCCAACTGTAGCTGTAGCACTGATTGTTGTATTTCAAAGAGATCCTTTTCTCGTCAAGGAGGTCTCTTCTTCCCTTAAGAACTGCCTGAAATCAAGTAGTGGACTGGGTCTCGCTGAAACCCTTCCTCAGGTACAGCGGTAGTCAGGCAGTTCAGGGAGCCTTGTCGTGCCTCAGGAGTATTCCAACACCTCCAGTAGGCACCAAACCAAGGACTTGGCCCTGTCAGTCAGACAGGAGGGCCAGCAGAGCTCTCTGCTGGGCCCTTTGGGCCAGCTCTCCTCAGGAGCTGGGAGCCTTCGTTATTCAATCGTGCAGTGGCAGTCTGGGAACAGTACTATCTGCTACCTCCTACTGCTTCTGCCCGGCCTCAACAGGATTGGTATCAACTGCTGCGGTATCAATGGGGCTACAAGCTAATTAGGATCGGTCTCAATCTTTCGTACTATTTTCTTAACTATGGTGGAAAGGACGATCCTTTCTTGCTGCTTTGGCTGGAGATAAGCCAGCTGTGGGTGCTGGAGCTGTAGGCCCTTGGAACATTTAATGGCATCTATGACCTGGATTTCTCAACTGGGTCTGGGCTGGAGTGGCGAGCGGAGTATGTGGAGAGACGCTCTGTGGAAATCGACACTCCTGGTAGAGGTGTTTTTGGGTACTGCAATGACATCAATGCTTGGACTTTTCGAGTACAGCCAAAGGAAAATCAGGAGGATTCAGCTCCTTGTGACTGGATTGCAAGATCTTCCGAAACAGACACCTATGATATCACAGAGACTGGGAGAATCCAGTGGTTTGTCCGTGATGAAACAAACCGCGAAGTGGTCCTGGAACCGTTCAGCCTCTTTTGTTTCGACTGTTCCAATGAAGATGCGGAAGGAAGTGATGACTGTGGCGGTAAAGGAACCTGCAGCAATGCTATCTGTGACTGTGAGAATGGTTGGTACGGGCTCCGGTGTGAATTTGTCCGCCCCTGCCCTTGGATCAACCTTGATGCTAGGACTGATAAGTTTGCCAGTACTAGGGATTGGGCAAGCAATTACACCAGTCCATTGAATTGGGCGACAGCACGCTGGTGGAAGCATACCATCGACCAGTCTACATCCATGAGTATGAGAGTGGCGACTTTGATGTTGTCATGTTCACTGGTGGGCGCTGGGCTTTGACTTCTTCTGTTTTCTTGCCTTATGCTGGCAGAATCCCTTCCTATGAACTCTCGGATGGACACGATGATGTTGGTTCTGATATTGGAAACTACTTCAAGCATGCCTTCCATGGATATAAGGGCTTTTCTACCAACCTTTCTGTTGCTTTCCTAAGTGACTACATGGAAAGGGGGACACATTTGAGCTCCAGCTCCCCAGTTGGCTTCTCTTGGTTCTTCGCTGAAGAAGCCATCGCTGATAACCAGAATCAGGGAATTGGGAATGAGATTTCTACTGAGTTTCTTTGTCGTGCCTGTGACGAATCTTCAAACCCATGTCTCTATGATGGAAAGTGCAGTGATGGAGCCTGTGTGTGTTCCCTTGACAGTTTTGGAAGCCTCTGTGAAATCCCACCGGGTATGTTCATGGGCCTCTGTTTATATGAATCATGTGCTTCAGCCAACTGCTCTAAACCTCTGTAAACTCACACCTTGTTTCAGTTCGCAACGGTCACTGTGACCCCCTTTTTCAACACACCTGAGTTCAAAATGGATGGTGGTGATTGCTGTGAATCGACTTGTGTCAGCACATCTCAGTATGCTTGTGGAGCCGAAAAAGATGGCTATGTCAGCACAGGATACTTCTACTGTGAAAAACCAAATGACGAGTGGCAAAGCAGTCATTTCAATGGAGACGCCGGCTCCTTCTCTGGTTTTGCAGTAGATCTGCCAGGGGGTCCTTGGCTGTGTCCGAGCTGTTGCAGGACCGTGTCCGAATCTACGACAAGGTTGGGTCCTCCTGGGTCCTTCGAGATACTATTTTGGGATCGCCAAACACATATTTTGGAACAGGAGTATTGGGTCTCTCATCTGGCCCCTTCAATGTGGTCAACAACCCTAGCTTCAGAGCTCCCCTTACTGTTGCTGTCCAGGATGGCTTCCGAACTCTTCGAATCTACAAATGTAACTTTGATGGCTGTTCTCAAAGTCAAGCGATTGAATTGGTTCATGGATTTGCTTTATCAGATGATGGGACTGTTTTGGCAACGTCCTTGTTTGTCCCCAATGAACCAATCCGTGCTATCAATGTCTACAAGACTGTGGATGGCATATTTCAGATGAGAGACACTGTCGTCATTCAGAGAAACACCACAGCAAGCAACCTCTTGTCCATGGCGTTGAGTTCTGAAGGTGACAGACTTGCTGTTCAAACTCAAATGACTGATTTTGATGAAGCCAGTAACTTTGAGGTCGTTACGGATGAAAATGTTGTTGTCATGGCATGGAATGAATCATCAAGTGCATATAAAGTGGAGACTGATTTCCGTTTTGCGACTCCACGAAACACTTTGAACTTCCCACTGCCACTATCATTCAACCATAATGGGAATGTTCTTGCCTATGGCTTCCCTGAATGTGAATCAATAAGTTTCTAGAAGGTTCAGTTCCAATACCCAAGTAGTGGACTGGACCTCGCTGAAACCCTTCCTCAGGGACAGCGGTAGTCAGGCAGTTCAGGGAGCCTTGTCGTGCCTCAGGAGTGTTCCAACACCTCCAGTAGGCACCAGACCAAGGACTTGGCCCTGTCAGTCAGACAGGAGGGCCAGCAGAGCTCTCTGCTGGACCCTTTGGGCCAGCTCTCCTCAGGAGCTGGGGGCCTTCGTTATTCAATCGTGCAGTGGCAGTCTGGGAACAGTACTATCTGCTACCTCCTACTGCTTCTGCCCGGCCTCAACAGGATTGGTATCAACTGCTGCGGTATCAATGGGGCTACAAGCTAATCAGGATCGGTCTCAATCTTTCGTACTATTTTCTTAACTATGGTAGAAAGGACGATCCTTTCTTGCTGCTTTGCTGGGAGATAAGCCAACTGCGCATGCTGGAGTTGTAGGCCAGCATAGCTGTTGGAGCTATTTCTGACGGGATCCAGAGCTCTCGCTCCTAAAAGTTATCGTGAATGGACTCAGCTACACATCAAAGAGATCAGTGGTGAGCTAGGATGGGCAAATCGCACAGCTCCTTCACTGAATACAACAGCTTGTGTGGAAAATAAGCGTCCGGACAAGAACAACGCCCTAGCACTCTCGGGTGATGGAGACAGGATTGCGTTCAGGGTTGGAACCAAAGTGGGCTATTTCCATTGGGAGTCTGAAAACTGGAATCCCATTGGTGATCCCTTTCCGTTGATTCATTATCCTGTGGCTATGTCTTCAGATGGCACCGAACTTGCAATCGGTTCCCCTAAAGACGGCATTGGAGGGGTCACAACAGTCTACACGCTACCCCGAAGAAAGCAGTGCCCCAGTGGTATGTCACTTCTACGCCTCTCACTGACTCTTGATAGACTGCCTGGAGATGTAGTGTGGAGCCTAGTCAACAACAGAACAGGTGAGGTTCTTTTCCAGCAAGACTCCTACCCACAAGAATACACCTTTGCAACAAGTTTGGAGGAGACTTGCGTCCCAACTGATTCTTGCTATGTGTTTACAATTTACAACAAGAGGAATCGGGGCCTGCTAGCTCCGGGAAGTTATGCAATCTTCATGGATGGAGAGAACGTTGCCCAGGGAACGGTTGGTGGTCTTTTTGCAAGAGAGCAGTTTGGAAGCTGTGCCTCTTGCCCCGCAGGTACAGAGCAGTTTAGCATGATGATGTTGACATGTGGACCCATGGAGTGGGTAGTGTTTAATATGGTGGACCAAGGAGACAATTATACTGCACTTCATTATGATTCAACGTATGGATCATATTCGCGAGGAGGAGGCAACACAACTGCTGAGACGTTAGAAGTGCCCTCAAACTACCAAACTTGCTTTGATCATGACATGGACAGGGACTGTAGAGGCAAGAGCATACCAGTTTCTCTTGATGCATGCCTTGACCCTGTAGAGTGCTATGGGGTAAATGTTATTTCTCCATTGAGGTACACTGCATACCTTGAGCTGGTGTTTGGGGAGGAGACAGTCAATGTAAACCCGAGTGCAGTTTGTGATGGAGGCACATCTTTTCTGGGCAAGTGCCCGCAGGAAGCGGACTCATTAATCTAACAGACACCAGTCCAGAATGTTTCCAAGACATAGCGAAAATGACCTGTGGTAGCGATTTATGACTATCCAGTTACCAGATTACTAGAAATCAACCACAACAACCAAGTAGTAACACACACAACACTATAGCAACCTCTTCATCAACACCATCATCAGCCTTTTTCGGCTTATTAGGCGTGGAAGCTACTACCCAACGATCGGTCGTTCGACAAGCACAAGCACAAGAGGAAGACCTACGTTCGATCGTTCGGTTCGCTCGTTCGTTCGAACACCATTGTCAAAGCTACCGTTCGAACAACTACCGTTCGACGCGACGCTACCGCTCGAACAACGCTACCGCTCGAAGCCATTGTTCGAGCGCCATTGTCGTGATCTAGAAGAGACAAGGAGAAGAGCTACCGTTCGTTCATTCGAAGCAAGAAGAAGAAGGAGCCGTTCGTTCGTTCGTTCGAAGCAGCGCCATTGTCGCCGATTCGAAGCTACCGTTTCGGAGCTACCGTTCGAAAGAACAAGAGAAGAAGAGAAGGAGAGAAGACCTCCAAGCGGCATAGCAACAGAAGACCTCTCAAGAAGAAGGGGCTCTCTCAAGTGGAGCGAGAGAAAGAGACTTCCAAGTGGGAAGCAGAGGTTTGGACTTGGAATATTGATCCCTCCAGTCTGGATCAATTCCTGCCTCATTGTCACCAAAGAAATCGATTGAGCCAAGGAGAGGGGACGCCTGATCCAAGAGTTTTGGCCTAGACTGTCACAGACTGGGTGTGCAGAGCTCATTCCGTGGAATACAGCCTTACTTGTCTGGGTGTGTACAGTTTGCTGTTGGAATAGGAGCAGAGAAGAAGACCAACAACTGTTGCTCATCCAAGTATACCGCAAGAGAAGAAGTAATTGGAGGCGATATGGCAGGCAATCTTGCAGCCATGAACAACTATCTAAAGAATACCATCGGTATTGCCGAACTAGCCACGAGGACAGCATTGAATGATCAAGGTTGGATGCCTTCGTCTCACTCGATACCTTTACCGATGTGATATCAAGAGCATCTGGAGAACGGTGAGGAAACCAGGTGGTACAATTCCAAATCCAGCCATTGCGGCTGCAGCCACTGGAAGCTGCCGCAGCAGTTCAGCCCAGAGAAGTTCCCAATCGAGGACGACAGCTGGGATTTTTCTTTGAGAAGCGACTCAAACAACTACGGTTCTACAAGTTTCACATGACAGAATCCAGCGTGATTCACCCCCAACCAAGCCAGTTTGGCGAGATTGAATAGAGTTTGGGTTTATACGAGTCCGAACGAGAAAGATCGATGTTGCGGATCCTCCCAACTCTTGAAGGTCGAGGATGCCGACGAGTTCTGGAGTCTTTTGACAATGTTCTGAATGTCAAAGCGAGGCGTTTGCGGTCCCCTCTGGCTTATGTTACGAAATCCAAAGTCACTTTGCCAGGAGCACTTGATACCGACACTGCAGATGAGCTGACCCAGGTTTTGGCTTTCCATCGCATCCTGAAGAATTGGTCGAAGAACAAGACATCCGGACTCATTTCGTACAAGACAATCAGGCTGTTTGGGCCATATTCGGTCGGTTACTCACGGTGGACCTGGTTGACATGGGTCCAACGTTGCGCAGCGCAACAGAACGGTCG